CGCGGCAAGACTCAGAATCGCGCGGCCCTGCCAAACGGCACGGTTGTTCGCGGGGGAGGCAAGGGAAGGGGGGGGAGGGAGTGGGGATGGGAGGGGGGGAAGCGAGGAGGAGGGAGGAGGGAAGGAGAAAAGGAAGAGCCTCCCCCACCCCACCCCCGCTCCTCTGGGGAGGGGAGTGCGAAGGGGAGGGGGACCGAGGAGGACGACGACGGCCATGCCGACAAGGACGAGAAGAGGCAATCATAGCATAACACCTGCGCTCCCGAAACACGTAAATCCTCGAATGACCACACAGCCCTCATCAGACCTCATGGAAGCGGCATCATCACCATCGGCAGATATATACCGCATCCTGCTCCTCATCGTGTTGTCGTTGTTTTCCACCGGTATCGGGTTCCTGATACCTCCTCGTCTTCACATTCCACCTCATCTTCGTCGCTCCCCTACTCCCGCCTCCCCCGTCTCCTCCTCCTCCGCTTCCCCACCTTCTGTCTTTTGCTCTCCTCCTAAGCCCAACCTACAACTAACTCACTACCCCACCATACCAAAAAACGTCCAAACAATCCAGTCCTCCTCCTCCTCCTCCTCCTGCTCCTGATCCTGGGTCCCACCCTCCTACTCCTGCTGTTGCTCCTGTGCCTCTCCTGCTCCTCTCCTGTTCCTCTTCCACCTCGCTTGCATCACCACCCTCAGTCGTGCCCCCGCATTATTTCCGCATCATTGCACCTGTTACTCCTCTTTTTAGTGTTTCTCCTCGTCATCTTCGCCCTTCTAATCGCCATTATCATCCTCACCCTCATGCCCCCGCCAACCCATCCCTGCGCACTCAAGTCTCTGCCACTGTTCCTCCGAATGATCAACACCATCCCTTCTCAGCGCTCCTCCTCCAATCCAGCTCTTCCTCCTCCTCCTCCTCGTCCTCCTCCTCCTCATGATTATGATCATGATCATGAGCATCATCATAACCATCATCATCATCATCATCATCATCATCATCATCATCATCATCATCATCATCATCACCATCATCACCATCATCACCATCATCACCATCATCACCATCATCAGCAGCATAAGGATCAGCATCAGCATCATCACAACGATCATCATGATGATGGTCATCATCATCGTCATCATCATCAGCATCATCATCCTCATGCTCATCATCCTCATCAACCTCAGCATCACCAACATCCATCACCATCATCGTCATTACAATCACCATCATCATCGTCATCAGCATCGTCAGCACCATCCATCGTCATCATCATCGTCATCATCGTAATCGGAATCGTCATCATCATCATCATCATCATCATCATCATCAGCAGCATCAGCAATCATAATCATGACCGCCGACGCCGTCAGCATCACCATCGTCATCATGGTCATCAGCATCATCATCATCATCATCATCATCATCATCAGCATCATCATCATCGTCATCGTCATCATCATCATCATCATCATCATCATCATCATCATCATCATCATCATCATCATAATGAGCATTGTCATCATCATAATGAGCATTGTCATCATCATCATCATCATCATCATCATCATCATCAGCATCATCATCACCTTCACGGTCATGCTTCTCTTATTCCAGTCTCGGCGTCGTGATCATCACCACCCTCGTCCTCCGTCTACTCCCCCCCCCTCACAAACATCATTATCGTCATCATTATCGCCGTCGTCGGCATCATCATGATCGTCATCATCATCATCATCATCATCATCATCATCATCATCGTCATCGTTTGCACCATCATCATCATCATCATCATCATCAGCATCATCATCATCATCATCATCATCATCATCATCATCAGTATCATCATCACCATCACCATCATCATCGCCGTCCTCTTCATCAGCATCATTCTCACCATCGTCATCATCATCATCAGCATCATTCTCACCATCGTCATCATCATCACAATCATCATCATCATCATCATCATCAGCATCATCATCATCATCAGCATCATCATCATCATCATCATCATCATCATCATCATCATCATCATCATCATCATCATCATGAGCATCGTCACCATCATCATCACCATTATCACCATGTTCGCTGTCATGCTCTTCCCTCCTCTCCCCCCTCCTCTCCCGCTGCGCCCCTCCTCCCTCTGTTCCCGCTCCTCTGCTGCTGGTCCGCGGTCCGCCTCCCAGGGGGAGGGGGGGAGGCACCAGCGACAGCACCCTGGCCAGGCGGAGCGTGGAGAGCATGGCCAGGACCACCCTGTCGGGGGCGTCAAGGCCGGCCAGACCCTCCTCTACCCCTCAGAGCGGGGGAGGAGGAGGAGGAGGAGGAGGAGGAGGAGGAGGAGGAGGAGGAGGAGGAGGAGAAGGAGGGGGAGGAGGAGGAGGAGGAGGAGGGAGGAGGAGGAGGAGGAGGAGGAGGAGGAGGGGAGGAGGGCATCGAGGAAGAGGAGGATGAGGGGACGAGGCTGCGGAGACGACGACACCGCCGCCGCCGACGATGACAATAACGATCACGACGACGCCGACGACAACGACGACGACCACGCTGGCGACTACAACGACGACAACCACGACGACCGCGAAGACGACGACGATGACGACCACGACGACCTCGCCAACGGCAACTCCGAAGACTGGCACGACGACGAACACCACAACGCGAACGGCATCAACCAGGACGACGACGACCACGACAACGACCACGGCGACCACCACGACTACGGGTCTGGCCTCAGCTGCGAGGAGGACCTCCGGTGCTTGTGCCAGTGCTGCCCGATGGCCTGCAGCAACTGCGCCATCACGACGGCGATGTGGAAGTGCCGCCAGCCTTGCCCGGCAGAGACGGTCGGGTCGAACTGGCCCGCCCTGTACCTCGGGCCGTCGTCGTCGTCCTTCTGCCCCTGCTTCTGCTCCTGCTCTTGCTCCTGTTCCTGCTCCTGCTCCTGCTCCTCCTCCTCTTCCTCATTCCTCCTCCTCCGCCGCTCCCTCCACAACTCTGCAACATGAACTATGGCTCTGGCACAATATTTTTGTGGCGTGGCCACCCCCGCGTCTTGTTTGTGCCGGGTTTTCGTGTGGTCCCAGTTGGTGGGCGCCTCGTGGGCGCCTCGTACGCTGTGTGGGCGTGCAGCCTGTGAGCGCCTCGTGCGCTGGGTGGGTGTGCCAAGGTTTCGCCTGGTGTCCGCCCGTAGCCGCCTCGTGGGCGCCCCGTGCGCTGAGTGGCCGCATAACTTGCACAACATAGCTGCACCAAAGAGGATGCATTACCAAGCTTGCATCACATGGCTTTCACCACATAGCTTACACCATATAGCTTACACTACACACCTTGTATCACATTCCCCAGTGTTTGCATTTAGGGGTTTTTATTTTTCTGACCGTTTGGCGGCAATGTTGCCGCCATCGCCGCCCCGTCGCCGCCTCGTCGCCGCCTGTCGTCTGGGCCTGTCTGCCGATCTGGCGGCTATGTTGCCGCCGTCGTTGCCCCGTCGCCGCTTCGTCGCCGCCGTCGTATGGGAATGTTTTCGGGTCTGACGGCTATGTTGCCGCCGTCGCAGCCCAACCACCGCCCCGTCGCCGCTTAGATTGCAACGCGTAAACTCTCGTCTCTTCTTAAAAAATAATTCGACCTCCCAAACCACCCTGGGGTCATCAACTCGGCCTCGCGCATTGTAGTTACATACGAGTTATGTGTTTGGGGATTATTTTCCCAACGAAGTCATACCATCCCAGGATGGCCGGTATCCGCGCCACCGCCATCCTCTACGAAATCTACTGTGCGGCGCATTCCTTTTCATCAAAAGTCATCAATTGTCAGGAATCCTCTGCAACACGTTTGGCGAAGTGCATACGCGCGCGTCGTCGCGCGCGCATGCCGACATCCTTATCAAAAACACTCGGCGTCGCAAGGACCTCAAACCCGGGGCCAAAAAAACACATGACAACACACGGTTGTCCAACCAGGTGTGTTTTAAACGTGCGTTCGCGCTCCTGCGAATTATTAGGGAAACCATGGGTTTGAACATCTTTCATGACATTCTACAAAACGAATTTCGAGCGCGCGTGTCGAAATCATTACAACGCCCTTGTGGGCGTGCAGTCGCAAGAACCCTGTGCAACATATGAAACGACATGCACGCGCGCGCGTCGTCGCGCGCGCATGCGGGAATCAATGAAAGAACTGGGGTTTCAAACCGAGTGTCCCGAAACCATATTGGAAATACATGGCTTCGCAATTCCAGTTTTCAAAAAAAGCTGCGTTCGCGCCCTGGCGGCTTCTTAAGAAGAAGCTATAAGTTGTTATGCGTGTTCATGGAATTCTGCCCAACGGGCCTCTCGCGCCGCATGCCGAAATCATTCCCACGGCCTTGCGCGCGCGTTGGGGGGGGGCACGATCCGCGTCAAATAACATCATGCGGGGCACTCTCGCGCGTCGGCCGCACGCGCATATCGAATTCCTTCCACAACCTTCATCGCCGACGCGAGGACGCCGTCATCGTCGTCGGCGTGAGCAGTATCGGCCCCGTCATCGGCCGCGCCGTCGTAATTGCCGACGTCGTCACCAACATCGCTGCAATCATCGGCGTGTCTGCCGTTGTCGACGTTGCCATGATACCGCGCCCGCCTAAGTCGCCGACTCGCACCGGAATGCTGGGGTGCGCCCAGCAGTCAGCACCACCGCGGCCGCGTCGGTCGCGCCGGACTACCTGACCGCTGCGCGCGCTTGGGTTGACGCGGCCACAGAGATGCACCATCCAACGCCGAGCGCTCATCGCAATCCCCGCCGCATGGGTTTCGCAAACAAAGTTGCGGGTGGGTGGGCGGGACGTTTGCAGGAGCATGGGACGCGTCAACTCGGCGCAAATCAAGTGCACCATACAGGTTGCATTGTATGGGTAGAACCGCGTACATTGTACAGCATAGCTTCTTTTTTTGTTATTCGATATTATGATCCACCTCCCCCACAGACTTAACGCATCACCTTTGTATGCTGCAATATGATTTAGCCCCACCGTTTAGCTGGAATCTGAACTCACACCATCCCAGGCATGAGCTTCGTTACTCCCCGCCACATCCTCTGCTAAGATAAAATGCTACGCGCGCGCTCGCACATCAAATACCATCAGGTTGCAAGGGCCCCTGGCCACAGAAATTGGAACGACGCGCACGCGCGCGAGTCGTCGCGCAAGCATGCCGGACAAGCTCGAAAACCACCGACGTCGTTGAACATTCAAAACCGAGCACCGAAAACAAATGACAAACAATGGTCTCGCGACCAGAACTCTCAAACAACCAAACATGCGGTCGCGCTTTCGCGAATCCTTTCGAACGCCATCGGTTTTTGCCAAAAAACTCATCTCATGATGCCAGACGTGCCTCTCGCGAGCGCACGTCGGACTGGCGCGGGCGCCTTCGCGCGCGAAGTCGCGAGAGACCTTCCGCGAAACGCGCGGGCCGAATCCCCCGGCAACCTCCGGGCTGCGCGCGGATTTCAACATTGAGCGCCCCGCAGACAAAGACGCGCAGGATTAAGCAACATCCGCATTCCAGGCAAAAGATGCGCTCGCAGTCCTGCTAATCCTTAAGATTACAATGGGTTCCTCAGAACTGTCGCGACACCATGCAAAACTGGCCTCTCCCGCCGCATGTTAATTTCACGCGGACCGCTGCGCGCGTCGGCCGCGCGCGCGCGCGCGCCGACCTCCTCCCAGCGCCTGCATCGCCGACGCGAGGGCGTCGCCATCGTCATCGGCTCGGTCATCATCGGCGCGGTCGTTGACCTCGCTGCCGCCCTCATCATCACCATCATCATCAGCGCCGCCATCGCCACCAGCATCGTCGCGTTTACCAGGGTCGACGCCGCCGCGGCGCCGCGCCCGAGCAAAATCACCGACTCGCACTGACTTGCCCGCTGGGAACGCCTGGCGGTCAGACCCAGCTGTCGGCGCCACCGCGGGCGCGTCGGTCGCGCCACTGGCTGGCCGCCGCGCGCTCGAGCCCGCGCAGGGCAGCGAGGCCGCCGAGATGCACCAGCCAACCAAAAACACGCATCGCAATCGCCGCCGCGTGGGTTATGCAAACCAAGTTGAGGGTGGACGGGCGGGGCGATTGCGCGAGCAGTGGAGTTGGCAACTCCCAGATGGATTTCCCACGCCGTGATAGAATCTGAGTCTATCCCCCCCCCCCCCCCGCCCCCGACTCAACGCCTCGACTCGTCGCATTGCAATTTGCGCGCGGCTCTGCCGCGTCGCCCATCCAAAGTTTGAACTCGCGCCGCCCCGGGTAGACGCCCATCGACCTCCCCCCCTTCCTTCGCGGAAAAAACTACACGCGCGCGCTCGCACATCAAAAACATGAGTATCCATGGGGCCCCCGGCAAACAAAATTAATTTCGACGACGCGCGCGCGCGAGCATCGTCGCGCGCTTGCCGGAATCCTGAAAAGCAAAAATTTCCGCGAGCATTGAAACCAAGCGTCACGAGAAACAGTGGTTTTGCAACCGGGGTGTTCCACAAAACGCGCGTTCGCGATCTCGCGAATTTCTGGGAATCTATGGGTGTTTCAAAATTACGATCATGCGCTACCAAATTTGCCCTTCGCGCGCGCGTGTCCGAATCGATCGAGCGCCCTTGCGCGCGCGCTGTCGCTGGCATCCCTCGCAGAAAACGCAACGAAATGCACGGGCACGCGTCGCGGCGCGCGGGTGCCGGCATCCTTCGAAAACGACCTGATTCGCAAGGGTGTCTGTCAACATCGAGTGGTTCGAAGACATACTGACACACTGTGCTGCAATACCGCTGTCCAAGAAGAGCTCTCGCGCGCGCTCTTGGAATCTTTGAGCAGACCATCTTTTTCTCAACATTCTCATCAAATGCTGCCACATTGGCCTCTTCCGCCACACGTCCACATCGTTCCAACCTCTTTCGCGCGCGCTGTCGCAAGATTCTTTAAGCAAAAAACTGGGGCGAAGTGCACGCGCACGCGCGTCGTCGCGCGCGCACGCCGATTTTCTTTTCCTTGTGTAACGACAACGTAGGTTTCACATCGATGTCCAAAGGGAGTGACCCGAGAGCACGCGACAAACAATGGTCTTGCAACGTGAACCTTCACATCGCAACACTCGCTCATATTATTGTGGACCCTTTGGAACGGCACAAGTGTTTCCACCATGCTCATCAGCTGCTGCCAATAAGTTCACTGGCAAATCATGCCACGCGGGTCACTCGCGCGCGTCGAAATCCTTCTCGGAACCTCCATCACCGACATGATGGTGCCATCGTCGTCATCGGCAAGATCAGCATCGGCTCGTCATTGCCCTTGCCGTCACCATTGTCATCATCGCCACCAACATCGCTGCTGTCACCATCGTGTCTGCCTTTTTCGACATTGCCATGACATCGAGACCGCTGGAGTCACCGACTCGCGCTGAAGTGCCCACGCGTCAGCGCGGCCGCGCCGGCCGCGCCGGACCCGCCGCTCAGCGCGCGAGCACGCGCGCGCCAGCGCGGTCGCACCGACGCGCCGGCCGGCGCCAAGCAAACACGGCAATCGCCGCCGCGCGGGCTTTGCAAACAAAGTTCCGGGCGGGCGCGCGGGGCGATTGCGCGAGCAGTGGAGTTGTCAACTTCAAGATCGGCAGGGCGAAATACACCGCATAGACTGCGCCCCATAGATGGCGCGGCATAGATGGCATCGCGCAGATCGCACCAAGACGGCTGCACCAAAGAGATAGCGCACTACATAGGTTGCACCACAGATATTGCTCGACGCGAAACATCGCCATCGTCCTCGGCGCGATCAGCATTGGCGGCGCCAACCGCTGACAACGTCGCCACGGCGCCGCGACCGCCCTACTCACCGACTCGCACTGA